CCCTCCCACCCCATGCCGCCACCGAGGTTAGAGACATCCTCCTCTCGCCGCTCGGCGACACTCCGTATGACACACTCGAGGAGGCTCTGGACAGTCGCCTCGTCGCTTCAGAGCAGCGACGCCTCCAGCAGCTCCTTAGCGCTGAAGAACTGGGTGACCGTCGACCATCTCAGTTCTTGCGTCACCTACAACACTTTCTAGGGGACAAGGCGGCCTCCATCGATGCAGCCATTCTTCGAGAGCTGTTCTTACAGCGCCTCCCGCCCCCCGTTCGCGTCGGTTTAGCTGTGGCCCACAGGCTTCCACTCCTGAAACTCGCCGAGCTAACTGACCGAATCATGGAGGTCAACAGCCCTACCATCGGCGCAACACAGCGAACTTCGGACCTTACTTCGGACATCGCCGAACTCCGGAAGGCTATGGAGAAACTGACTGCAGAGGTGTCCGAGCTTCGACGGGAATCCTCCCAACGTGCTCGGCCGACGGGACGGCGCTCGCGAGACCGTGCAGGCCAACGCTTTGGTCGCAACAGCTCTCGTCGACCCTCACCATCTCCCCTGCCTTCTACGAAGTTGCTTGCCGATACCACCGACGGTTTGGCTCCGAGGCCCGCCACTGTCGGGCTCCCTGTTCCTGGGACCAGGGAAACGGAATGGGCGGTCGTTAGTGGCGGCCAGCGACCCATACCAGCCTATTAGCCGCCTTTTCCACGTTCGCGACAAGATCAGCGGCACACGTTTCCTGGTCGACACAGGTGCAGAAGTAAGTGTCATACCTGCCTCTACTTTCGATCGCATAAGTCGCACCAAAACACTTTCGCTGCAAGCCGTCAACGCTTCCCTCATCGCTACCTGTGGACAAAAATCACTGACCCTGGACCTCGGTCTCAGACGTCGGTTTCAGTGGTTGTTCTGGGTAGCTGACGTAGAGAACGCGATCGTCAGTGCCGACTTCTTGCGAAACTTCAATCTCCTCGTTGACATGAAGAACAAGCGACTGATCGATTCAAGCACTAACATGCATGTGTCGGGAGTCCTATCGCGGGCTCGAACGCTTAGCCCAACTTTCGTGAAGCCGCCCCCAAACGAGTTCACCCAAATCCTGCAGAAGTATCCCGATCTAACCAAGCCAAGGAACTTCGAGGAGACGCCAAAGCACGATGTAACGCATCACATTCTCACGACCGGACCGCCAGTTCATTGCCGACCACGTCGCCTTGGACCAGACAAGCTGCGTGTCGCTCGTGACGAATTCGAGCATATGTTTCAACTAGGTATTGTGCGACCCTCATCCAGTCCCTGGTCATCCGCCCTACACATGGTGCCCAAAAAGTCTGGCGACTGGCGCCCCTGTGGCGACTACCGCGCCCTCAACGCCGCAACAGTGCCAGACCGCTACCCCATCCCAAATGTCCAGGACTGTACATCGTTTCTGACGGGCACGACAATCTATTCCAAAATCGACCTCATCAAGGCATACCATCAGATCCCCGTTGAGCCATCTGGCATACCGAAGACCGCCATAACAACACCTTTTGGCCTCTTTGAATACGTTCGGATGCCATTTCGGCTTCGTAATGCGGCCCAAACGTTCCAACGTTTCATCGACGAAGTCATCCGTGGTCTCCACTACTGTTTTGCTTACCTCGACGACCTCCTCATTGCCAGTGCGAACCCGGATGAGCACAAGGTCCACTTGGAGCAAGTCTTCAGTAGGCTCCACGATCATGGAATCGTAATCAACACGGACAAGTGCCAGTTCGGAGCAACCCAACTTGAATTTCTCGGCCACAAAATTAACGGTCAAGGAATCAAACCGCTTCCAGAAAAAGTTCAGGTTATTTTGGACTGTCCACCTCCAACAACAAAACGCGCTTTACGACGATTCCTTGACCTTGTCAATTTTTACAGGCGTTTTGTGCCACAGTGCGCAGTGTTGCTACACCCCTTGGAAGCCATACTCCGCAGTTCCACTGCAAAGAAGTCACCCCTGGCTTGGCCCCCTGAGGCAGCAGTTGCTTTCGAGAAGGTCAAGAAAGAACTCGCGAACGCCACCTTGCTTGTTCATCCTTCACCTGGAGCACTGACTTGCCTGACGGTCGACCTTTCCAGCTTCCTGTTGGCGCCGTCTTGCAGCAGAAGATTGACAACATTTGGTCTCCCATCTCTTTCTTCTCACGAAAGCTGCAAGACACTGAAAAACGCTACAGCACTTTTGGTAGAGAATTGCTGGCTACCTACTTGGCTGTAAAGCATTTCTGACATTTCCTAGAGGGACGCAATTTTTTCATTGCGACAGATCATAAGCCGCTTGTTCATGCTATTCAGTCGCCCAGCCAGAACCACTCCCCTCGAGAGTGCCGTCATCTCTCCTTCATCGCAGAGTTTACCACCGACTTGCGCCACGTGAAGAAAAAAGACAACACTGCTGCCGATACACTGTCTCGTTTGGACCTCAACGCTATTGCTACAGAGAAGACGCAGTTTACCTATTCTGAGCTTGCAGAGGCCCAAACAGATGACGACGAGCTTCCATCTATTCGCGAAGCCGGCACTTCACTGATATTTGAGGACGTATTTTTTCCAGATCACGGTGTCACCCTCGTCTGCGACAAGCCCACGGGAACCCCACGACCTTACGTCCCAGAAAACTTACGTCGTGCTGTGTTCACGTCGCTACACTCGCTTTGCCATCCTGGTGTCCGTGCAACGCAGGAACTTATTACAAACCGTTTTGTCTGGCCCAAAGTCAAGGCCGATGTTCGTGATTGGGTACGTTCCTGTCTTGCTTGCCAACGTTGCAAAGTACAGCGACAGACACGAACACCGCTCGGAGCGTTTCCACTTCCGTCACTACGTTTTGAGCAGGTGCACGTGGACATCGTCGGACCCTTGCCACCATCACGCGGTTTCACCTATTTATTGACGTGCGTCGACCGTTTCTCCCGATGGCCTGAAGTTTACCCGCTCGAGAACATAACGGCCGAGACGGTCGCCAGAGCTTTTCTATTTACCTGGGTAAGCCGTTTCGGAGTACCTTCCACGGTGACGACCGATCGAGGACGCCAATTTGAGTCCGCTCTATTTCGTCAACTCACGTTTCTTCTCGGCTGCTCCCGTACGCGCACAACAGCTTATCATCCTGCAGCAAACGGTCTCGTGGAACGCCTTCATAGGCAGCTAAAATCAGCACTTCGCACGCAGTCGTCTCCCGATGCTTGGGTCGACAACTTGCCCATTGTGCTGCTTGGGTTGCGTTCAACGCTCAAACCTGACCTAGGGAGTACGGTGGCTGAGCTCGTCTACGGTGCTCCGCTACGCCTGCCTGCGGACATGATCGAACCCCCTACCATACCAGACAGCGTGGATCCCGCATCCTACGTCCACAAGTTAAGGCAAGCAATGTCAACGCTTCGCCCAGTTCCATCACGCCAACAAACGCAACCGAAGGTTTTTCAACATCCTGCACTGACTGAGGCTACACACGTTTTCATCAGGAAGGACGCACCGCGGAAGCCTCTGCAAAACCTGTACGATGGACCATTTCCTGTCCTGGAAAAATCACCAAAATATTATACCCTGTTGCTTCGAGGTAAACGCGAAACCGTCTCAATCGACAGACTCAAACCGGCTTTCTTCTCCCCCTTCGATTCACCAACGTCCAAGCATCAGCATAAAACACCCACACCCACAGAGCACCAAACTAACTCCACTCAAGTGGCTACAGCCACTTGTCCAAGGGGGGGCGCCTGTAGCCCCCGAGCTACAAGAACAACAGGAACGACAGCGAGAGCGGTGTGTTTCGGCGCCACGCGATTCGTGACGGGTGCCACGAGACACTGAGATTCGGGGTGACGTGGTGCACGGACGTTCTACGATGGCCGGCTTCTGCACAGCAACTAACAACCATTTGTAAATATTGTAAATATAAATGTAGTGACAAAAACCAAGCTCGCTACAACCTCTTGTTGCTCGTTGAGCTTCTGTAGGCCTTCATCGCAAGTCTTTAGTCTATCGTGCAAAACTCGCTGAGCAGAAAGGCTGAGCTGATTGGAGTAGATGACTTGTCTTGCTTCGGTTCGTAGGTGGGTATGCAGAGCCGGCTGGGTGGTTCGCTTGCTTTTCACGCGTTCCATGTCGTTAATGGTGACGATCTTTCCTCTCGGTTGGGTCAGTAAGATAGCAGAGTCCCGGGTTTCGGCACCAATGTTTTACATAGACAGAGAGCCCAGACAACACACCGTATCCCAGGGATGTCCCAAAAACCTCCCGACTTCGCAAACTCCAACTTTAATATCCCTAGGACCTCCGTGGGACATCCGTTAGTGAATGATCCCGAAAACTTCCCACTGGGATGTCCCTCGGAAATCGGTCACCGGATGAACTGGGGATGTTGAAGGATCAAAAAGTTTTAGCAATAATTTTTTTTTTTTACGTTATAGTTTACGCAGGTTTTTCTGTGTTGACATCCGAAATTTAAAATATTATGGTAAAGGTGGACAGCGAGCGGTCTGTCGGATAACGGTACAACGCCCCAAGTATATGCACGTGCGACCCCGCGTTCGACGGTCCTACACGGAGGGTGCCTTCGTGTTGGACACGGGGACAAGCACTATGAAGAACTTTTTTTCTTGTTCCGTAATGGGGCCAGTTTCGTTTTTCTCACATAAAATGATAAGTTCGGCTTGACATCTCTTGAATACAATGCACAAGCACATACACTTGGAGTTTCCTCTAAAAATTAGCTTAGTTTCAGTTTCGGTACTGCAAATGTTTTAAAAAACGAAAACGTTAGACATTAGTATTAGTCCGTTCCTTAAACTATGCACTACTGTAAAAAAGTGTGGAGGGACGTAGCGAAAATTAATTAACGTGTACATACTAAGTTTTATTATTACTGAACCAAGCATGTATAACTACTGTACAACCGAAGTCAATTGGAGTCTGGCCACATTGGTCATTCTCCGGCAGCTTTCGCGCCAAAAAACACCCTAAAAAAAACGGAAACCGGTCCTCGCTTTCAACTCCTAGCTATTTTCTCCGCTCCGATTGTTCTGGTCTTTGAATGAAAAAACGAAACACGGACGCGAATTTGACAGACAGTTGAGCAGAGCTTGGAATACCGTTGGTACCCCTGGCGCGTTGCTGCACCCATGGAAAGCATGGAAAATCAACGAGCTACTCCAGGTAACGTTTTGTATTTACACGTGCCACTTAGTGCGGGAAGCGTGTTCTTGCCACTTGTGTGTGCACGCAAAGGTCGTGGTGTGTAACCTGCTTACCGATGGACCAACCTCCAAAAACCACGTTTTATAGGCGAGCGCGTAAAAGGGCCTTTGAAGATCTGCATGCTCTAACGGCCGATGAAGTTTTCCAAGTGGGCCAGCTTGGCGACGGCTCGATCCCGGTTGAAGAGCAGCATGGCCGAAGAGAGCGGAGCCATCTGCTTTCAACATTCAACTCCGACTTCGACAGCTTGGAGCCAGATGAAGCCCAACGTGCTGACCTCCGGCCTCAGCAAATTTCAGAGAGCTCAGGCTCCGAGCTCTCGAGCTCGGAGCCAGATGAATTCGACCGAGTTGACTTCCAGCCTGGGGACAATCCGGAGAGCTCAGGCACAGAGTTTGAGAGCTCGGAGGCAAATGAATTCGACCGAGCTGACCTACAGCCTCAGAACATTCCGGAGAGCTCGATTCGATATGAAGAGAAGAGAAATTGCGAGGATGCGGACGTTCATGAATCGATTGTAGGAAAACTCCGGAGCTGGGCTCTTGACACGGCTACGCCTCACCGCGCACTCACTGAGCTTCTGAAGATTTTGCAAACTCATTCCTGTTTTGCATCAATCCCCGGCAGTGCTAGATCACTGCTTAAAACCCCCAGAAAGGCATGTGTAGAGAAGATGGGAGCCGGCAAATACTGCCATTTCGGTGTGAAGGAAGGACTTGACGATACTTTGAAACGAGCACGTTTTGTGCCAGACGTCATCAAGATCAATGTAAACATTGACGGTCTTCCGCTCACAAAAAGCACCCGTGATCAGTTCTGGCCGGTGCTATGCCATGTGACCAATTGCGGGAAATGTGACCCCTTTCCCATTGGTGTTTACTATGGCAAATCAAAAGCCGTTTGTGCGGAGGAATTTCTGCGGCCGGCTGTGTCCGACATCATTGAAGCACTGAGCGACGGATTAATCTTCAAGGGCAGGCATTTGCGAATCGAGCTTTCTACGCTCATCTGTGATGCTCCCGCAAAGTCCTATGTCCTCGGCATCAAGGGCCACAATGGTTACTTCAGTTGTACAAAATGCCAAACAGAAGGTGACTTTCTCAATAGTCGCATGTGCTTTCCGCAGCTTGATGCCACGTTGAGAACGGATGGGAGTTTCCGAAGCCATGCACAAGAGGAACATCATCTCCAAAGAACTGAACTGGAAAAGCTTCCTATTGATCTAGTGAAGAACGTTCCATTGGACTATATGCACCTTGTCTGTTTAGGTGTGGTTTCTAAGCTCCTGAGATTATGGCTCAAGGGTGACAGCAGGTGTCGGTTAGGCACGGCTGCACGAGATGCTATATCTTTAGCCAACCTTGAGATTGAACGGTACATCTGTTCTGATTTTGGTCGAAAGCCCAGAAGTCTGCTCGACTTAGACCGCTGGAAGGCGGTAGAATTTCGGCTGCTTGTGTTATACACAGGGCCCATTGTTCTTTACTCGAGAGTTCCAGAGCCTTTCTTCTTCAACTTCATGACTCTGCACGCTGCCATCACAATTCTCAGCAGCCCAAAACTTTGCCTTGAGTATGTGGACTATTCTGAACAACTGCTTGTACATTTTGTCGAGACCTACATTTCATTGTATGGAAAGGATAAGGTGTCGCATAACGTGCACAACCTTATCCACACTGCGAATGATGCACGCGCTCATGGACCCTTGGATGGGTGGAGTGCATTCCCTTTTGAGAACTTTATGAGGACATTGAAAGTCTTTCAAAGGAAACCCGAGAGACCCTTGGAGCAACTCTACAACAGAATCACTGAACGCAGAAGTATGTTTGTGAAGACAAAGTTCAAGGATAAAAATCACTTTTTCCATGAACATGTCAATGGCCCAATGTCTGTTGGATGTAAAGGCCCTCAATACAAGGCTGTTCAAATCCCTCACAAATTTACGTTGAGGACTCGCATCAATGACAACACCTGTATGCTCAACGATGGTGACATCATCATGATCCAGAACTTCGCTTTTTGCTCCACGTCTGGCCAGGCACTGGTGATCGGCAAGCGGTTCGAGAGCTCAAGTGACTTGTATACCCACCCCTGTCCGTCGTCAATGCTTGGTGTTGTGCTGGCGTGTAACCCTTCCGTCACCAAATCGTGGCCACTTTCAGATGTTGCCCAGAAATGTGTCCGAATGCCTTACAAGGGGAAATTTGCTGTCTTTCCTTTACTTCATTTGCAGTAATGTCACCTCTTTCAACTTTGGTTGTATATTGATCTGCAATCTTCATTTGTTGACAGAATCTTTCTTTTTTATTTATCTAGATGACAAAAAGTTTGGAGTTGTCAAATTCGTTGGTGACAATACCGTCGCCGTTATTCATTTAAACTGGGTGGATGGGGCTGACTGCTTTTGGCCGACTGCAACACACAAGAATCTTGGTGCTCTCACCTTGGAAGGTGCCCAGCCACAGCCAGATTGGAAGAAATCCCGTTTTGCTTCCTTAGGATGGTATGGTAAGTGGAAAAAACTGCTCGAGATATTCCAGCAACTGAATGCTTGGTGGAGACATAGCAATCCCTTCTTTTTTACAGACACTTACCAGAAAGCCAGAAGCAAGTTGCCGACGGCCGAGTTGACATCGGACCTTTGTAGCGACGTGGAGATGGGTCGTGGGAGAAGGAAAAAAGCCAAGAGGATTTTGTATAGTGAAACTGAATCTGAGGGTGAAGAGACCTACCAGCCACCCAAACCGCCAACTCCACCATGCTTTAAACCAACAACGAAAAGTGAGTGGTTTACTCCGTAAGCAGCAAACTGAGCGCACCTCTACGGAAGGTATTTGCTTTTTGACATTTCACATGTCTGAGTTCTTCAAGTTCTTGTTTCAAATATAACTCGGGCATGTTTATTTCTCCAGGCGTCCGCTGCAGACGTAAAGTGCCCCAGGTTCGAGAAAAGACTTACAAGCCCTCCGGCAAGCGAGCACATGGTAGTAAATGTTAATTGCTTTTGGTGCTTTGTTTCAATGCCTTAGCAGAATTGCTTCAATGTTCCTTGGTTGGTGCTGTATTCTTAGCATGTGATTTCAGCGACAATGGATTCATCATGTCTTTTTAGGCAGCCACCGCCTTTTTAAAGGCTGATCCATTACCTTGGTACCAATCAGCAACCAAGGATTCATTGAAGTTGAACCCAGTAGGCAGGCGAACTAGTAAAGGATAGACGTAGTAACCCTGGAGTTGGGACAAAAAGGATGGACACAACACGGAGCTTTGTTTTTGTGGTCATCTTTTTTGTCCTCACGCTCCAGAGTTCCGATGTCTAAGAATTCATGTGGAGAGGCTAGACATGGTACGAAATATTCATCACTCCTACGGCTAATGCGTGGTCTCTCTTTCAGGCAGTCGGCGTAAATCTCATGAGAAATTGTCGCCTCAGCACCATTCACCAACAAGTTATTTCTCTCAAGAGCAGACACACGGTAATAAACATCTACCACTTTTGGAGCTTTTCTGTGAAGTTGTCTTGTATTATGTTTAAAGTAAGGTGAATTCATGGTTTATTTTTCAGGCAGTCACTGTGAATCTCATGGAGAGCTGTCATCTCGGCACCGTTCACCAACCAGTCATTTCTCTCAAGAGTGGACACATGGTAACAAGCATTTATCACTTTTCGAGCTTTTTCTCAACACCACTCCAGGATAGCTTTCCTGTGGTGGGGTTGTCTTTCTTGTATCATGTTTAAAGTATGGTGAATGTTTGGTTTCTTTTTCAGTCAGCCGCCATGAATCTCGTGGAGAGCTGTCACCTCAGCACCGTTCAGCACCCAGTTATTCCTCTGAACAGTGGACACATGGTAATAGATATTTATTACTTTTGGAGCTTTCTCTCAACACTCCCAGATAGCTTCTCTGTGGTGGAGTTGTCTTTCTACTATGTTTAATTTATTGCAAATGCATGATTTCTCTTTCAGGCAGTCGCCGTGAGCCTCGTGGAGAGCTGTCACCTCGACACCGTTCAGCAACCAACTATTCCTCTCAAGAGTGGACACATGGTAATAGACATTTATTATTTTTGGAGATTTTTCTCAACACCACTCCAGGATAACTTTTCCATCGTGAGGTTGTCTTTCTTGTATTATCTTTAAAGTACGGAAAATGCATAATTTCTCTTTCAGGCTGTCGCCGCGAGCCTTGTGGAGAGCTGTCAACTCGGCGCCGTTCAGCAACCAGTGATTCCTCTAAAGAGCGGACACATGGTAACAAACATTTATCACTTTTGGATCTTTTTCTCAATACTTTTCCAGGATAGCTTTGCCTTTTTTGAGGTGATATTGCCTTAATTGTGTATACCGTAATGTACCGAGCAAGCGCCCTCTCAAAATTTGGAGATAATCGCGAAAAGAGGGGGGATTCTCGTTAGGTGATCAACTTCACCTATATTTGTACTGCGCATAATCTTTGAGATGCTACAATATTTGGAGGCGGGCGCTTAGTGTGGAATGGGCGAACACCCAGTATTTTACGGTACTTTCTAATATGGTGCACACAAGATTTTTCCATCAGATACTCGCCGTGCATTCCATAAAGAAACGTCGCCTCGCAGTCAAGCGAGCAAGTCACCTGCTTGGTGGGAACATGGTGAAAAAAGTTTGTTTTTTGTTTGCTTGATTTGTTTTTGGAAGACAGGAACCTAACTTGTGCTTTAATGAGGGCACTTGTTTACAAACCAGCATAGTCCGTGCTTCGTTTGGCTGATTTCACTGCTTTGGAAGTTATTATCTCGAGTGCCTTTTGATATCTGCCCTATTGTGGTAATTCAGTGCTAGAAGAGCTCTGTTACATATCTCTTTTCTCCCGGGAACCATTCCATCTATAGACAGCGGAGGGTTACTAACTGTCTTCATGGACACATAAGTTATTAGTCTTAGTCTATTTGCAATATTTGGGACTAAGTTTGAACCTGTTTACTGTGGATGTGCATTGTTATACAGATCAGGCTTGAACCGCAGTTTGCGCTCAATTTCTTTGCCAGGAGGCCGTTCCATGTTCCCTTTGACTCCGAGACATGAGCAAGCAAGCCAAGAACACGGTAATAAATCCAAATTTTTGTGGCATATCCCATTTTCAAAAAAAAACAATCCCTTTTGCTATTTGAGCACACACTATAAATCTTTCTCCTACTATTATGTTACATTGTTCAGATGGTGCTTCAAATCCTATTTAAGGATACTTTTGCTGTTTCACAGGTGATCACATTTTGAAAGACGGACAGCCTTACACTCATGGCCCGAGTACATCAACATCCAGCCAGCAATTGAGTGGTGATGACATTCAATTGTTTTCTTAAGACTAGATACCTCTTGCTCTAACATATGTTCGTCTGCTGGGGTCGCCTTACGTACAACTTTGTGTGCACTCGTTCTAGGCTTTATGATGCAGGTACTGAAGTCGCTACACATCATGAGACAAACCCAACAACACCAATCTGAGCAGCTGATGATGATCACCGACATGTTACACCATGTGGATGGGCCACCTGCTGTACCTCTAAGCTTTGCACAGTTCGAGACCCTACAGGAATTCCTTGCCTTTGAGAAAGAGTTGACTGCATGCGAACAAAAAAGGGTCCAACTGGTTAGCTCACGTTTGAGATGCACTCTTTTTTATAAGGAGGATAAATCCATACTACTTTTTGTACGGCCTCTGAGGCCTTCACACACCCTCCTGCAGTAGAGTCGACCCATTCCCCACGTCCAGCAAGTTCACATTTACTATCTTTGGTATTTTATTTCAGAAGCAGCAGATGCAAGTAATTGGGGGTGATGATGCGAAAGATAAAACTGCCCGAATTCTTCGCAAAATGCTGTGCCACGAAGTGGGGGCAGCCTTCACATGGTATGGGACCAAGACAAAGGGAAAGTTCTCCAGTCTAGAGTTCTGCAAGGTGATGTGTGGTATGTACCCATGCAGTGTAATGATATCATTCATGATTTTTACTTTGTGCGTGTGGAACGTTTATGAGAAACTCATTTACAATTGGTTAATTTCATTTCCTGTTGGCTCTAACTAATAAAATCATGCTATAAGACATGGTGCTGCAGCTAAGTAACACATCTGCTTCTGCTAGATTTTAACCCTAAAATATTTTACAGCTTGCATTACAGCGAGCAAGCCGAAGGAGGTGGCTGTTGGTACCCTGAAGGAAGTTGAAGCCACTACAATGTCATGGCTGCGCCATGCCCAGGAGAGGCTTCAAAAGCATTGCAATAAGTAAGCCTATTCATTTGTGTTCAGCTGAGGTTGCAATGTTAAGGTTCATGAAATTACATGTTGCATGTCCAACTCTGAAATATATGGCCACGGTTCGGAACATATTAAGGAATGGAGCATACCACTCTCAAATGAACTGCATTTGCTTTGGTTGAGGTGTCTACCTGAAAAGCTACAAACATGGTCGCACTAGAATAATTAATAATTTAAGCAGACATTCAACAAGGCAGTTTCAACAGGGAATTCAGCTTATCAGCTTGTTCTTCTATCTTCTAGGGATGTGGAAGAACCCGGGGAGGGTCTGTGAAAGCAAGATGGCCGGAAAGCTACGGATAGTCTGTAAGAGCCGGGAAATGGGGTGTGCAAATAAAATAGATGTTACCTTTTCTTACAGATTGGAGTTGCCTTTTTGTTAATGAGAACCTCATCTGGAGTCTTGCAAAAGGGCCGTCTTCACATGCAGTGTGTTTTACATTCTAGTAAACAGCAGGAGGCACTCATTTTGTTAAATGAATACTTGATAATCAGTATATCATTCATGTAATGATGCTGTTTTTCAGGGGTCTTTGGCTACATCCTCAGTAAGAACTGCATTTACAGCTGTGAGGCTGCAAGAGACCCCAGTTGTCATGCCTTGTAAAACTCCTAACACTCACCATAGTGAGATTTACTTTCCTTCAAAACAGCACATGCCATGTCTCCCTTACACCAGAATGTAGAACGCACATCGCCTGTGTTGGCGGCTCGGTACACTGGCTCCAGTGGTTTCGTGTAATTTGAAATGGCATCCGCAAACCAGAATGAGCTGTCCTGTGCAAGTCGCATAGCCATCCAATGTGGGATAATACGTCCCAAAGTAGTCCTACTCGCATCCCGTGAGAGTGCGAAGGGATGTCCACGGGACCTCCGTGGGAACCTCCCATGTCATTGTTTCCAGTGCCATTTGGGACGTCTACGGGAAGTTTAAGGGGGAATCTGGGATATCCCTGGGATGTCGCTGCCATCCCGGTGGGACTTCCGTAGGACGTCCCTGGGATACATTTGTGTTGTCTGGGAAACGATGTCCACGGTGTAGAATATGGGAACTCGCGTATACTTAGCAGATGTGTACAACGCTAACCGCAGCCTCGATCGTCTCGATGTCCACCGTCCTCGCGCCTCTCTTTTCGGCTTTCCTCGTCTTCAGTCCTTCGTCGAGCAAAAATTCCTCCTCTTCGTCTTCAATATTCAACCACGTGACGTGACGTGACATCATTTTGTGAAATATGGCCTTGTGACGTAGCACGTGATGTCATGTGTGACGTCATCATAAGAAATGTCCCATAATGCAACGCGCAGTATCGCCGACGCCGCTCAACTATTAAACGGGTGCCTAAGAGCTGCGCTCTAAAATAAAACGCGCGGGGAGCCACAGCGAGCATAGGAGACGTCATTCTAATTGATTTTGTGCACATCCCGTTTTTTTCGTCTGTGTGTAGGAATCCTAACCCTCATCATTCGCCTTGATTCCTTTGTTGTTCGCGGTGACGTAGTATTTTCAAGCTCTCCATAACTTCTTTATTTTTGCCGACTGAATTGAAAATAGCTATCCCTACAACTAATACGACGTACATTATTGTCGCGAGTATGAAAGTAAAATGTTTAGGATATAGGTTCGGTTTTTCAGATAAGCAACGTGAACTTTTAGGCTACTTGAAGGTCATATAATTTCTCTATAAAAGGTTCGTGAATTAACGAGAGACGAACACTTCCGATTCGTGCCCGACCAAGGAACTAATTCATTCGAGAAACCTATGCGCAAGGGAACGCCGGCGCATGTTCAGGGTGTCACACAAAAAAAAATTACACATTCTTTTTTTACGGCAAAAATAAACTATGCATCACCGAACGCTCTTTCTCCGCCCACAAGTAGCGCTAGAAGTCACAACCAGAGGCCAAGGTTTCAGCCTGATCCGATACCTTATTCAAAACTGAATGCTGGGCTAGTTTTCATTGGTCTTGGGTTGCCAAAGGAATGGTAGCGCTTTTTTAGACGAGAAAAAGGAAAAAAAGACAAGACAGACACGAGCGCTGACTGCAACTATTCAAACAACATGGAAATGAGGCATATATACACGCTTGGATCTTATCAATCAGCCAACCTTAGGCCTTGCTGCCATTTTCATTTATTCATTTCATTTATTAATCCTTAAGGGTCCTCTGTCGAGGACATTACATAAGGAGGGGGCAACACAAGAAATTATACAAGAAATGAAAAAAATAACAACATAAAAATTACATAACAACGCACACTCATGCAACGTAGCTAAAATTGCATATCAACGCACTCTCATGCAACGTAGCTAAAAAAAAAAAAATTAACTTGGTGTGGAAAAATACGACATGATTGAGCTTTTGAAAACCACAGGGTCAGTTATTGTAATGAGCGATTCTGGAAGACTGTTCCAGTCCACAATTGTTAGTGGGAGAAATGATTTGTTAAAGGCATTACTGGAACCCGATATACGTTGAAAATTGTAAGAGTTATTGAGCCGACGAGATGACCGTGCGGGAGTGCGCAGGAATGAGCTTCGAACAGTGGGATGGTAGTGGTAAAGTTTATGGAGTAAGCAAAGACGTGCAACCTTGCGGCGTACCTCCAGAGTTAGTAAATTTAGGCTCGTTTTCATGGCAGAGACACTGTTTTTATAGTCATAGTTTGATAAAATGTAGCGAGTTGCTCGGTTTTGAATTGCTTTCAGTCGGGTGATTAAGTAATTTTGGTGCGGATTCCATATTGTAGATGCATATTCCAATTTTGGTCGAATGAAGGTTTCGTATGCAAGTTTCCTAAGCTTTGGAGGAGCAGCATTCAAGCAACGCCGGATGTAACCAAGGGTCCTTGCTGTGTCCGAAGAAATTGTGTTAATGTGATTAATCCATGTCATATCGGAAGTTAGTACGACACCGAGATATTTATACCAATCGACTTCTTCAATTATCTCGTCGCCCAGCACATACCGGAAGGAGGAAGGAACTATTTTACGAGAAAAGTGGATTAATTTGCATTTAGATTTATGAATGAACTGCACCTCCTTATCGAAAAGGTCAATAGATGCAACGCTGACACACCCCAGCCCTGCCCTTTTTATCTCGTCCGATTCGATAATCTCCCTAACAGTTCTATTTTTATGTTTAGCTAGTACTGAGCATGAGTCAAACAAAGGTTTGCACCCGCAGTCAGGGCAATGCATTGAAAGGTGGCCATCCCGATAGTTTTTGATGTTTAGACTATGTTCCCGGAGCCTATCGTTCAGGCATCTCCCAGTCTGACCTACATATTTCTTACCGCGTGTTAACAGAATCTGATACACCGCGCCTTCAACACAAACGACAAACGGATTTCTGTGCCTAATCACACAACCCAGCGAGGCTTTGCGGAAAGGGTTCGTCAAATGACTCAGCCTGGCTAGCTTCTCTGGCGCAGAAAAGACCACCTTGGTATTTATACGGCTTGCTATTTTCTTTAGGCCATGCGCCGTCTTGTGCATATAAGGCACGACTGCAATCCTTTGTTTACTCCTGGCCTCTTCTGGACGGGTGTTGCCCTTTGCTCGAAGCCTCTTAAGGATCACCTCCGCTTCCGACACCAGTACAGTCTCCGGGTAACCAGCCGCCAACAGACGTTCAGACTGCTCCTGGACACTCAAATGTGTCACATGGTGATATGACTTATGAAGGGCATTCTTGAAGCACAAATTAACAATCCCTCTCTTAACCAGTTTTGAGTGGGACGAATTAAAAGGTAGCAGGGGCTTGTTGGCTCTAGGTTGATACATCCAACATACATGATTCTCGACGAACGTAAGTCTAATATCGAGGAAACGAATGACACCATCTACCGGCACCTCATGTGTAAGTTTCAGGGGGTGAAGGGCATCACTAAATATAGTTAAAAGACTATCCACCACCGAGTAGAAATGTGTCGAGTCATAGTTAAGAAATACTAAAAAATCATCAACAAATCTAAAACACTTCCTTACGTTAAAATCGCTCAGGCAGTCCGAAGGGACTCTGTCATGATACGCTAAAAAAATGTCACTTAAAATTGGCGCTAGACATGAGCCGATACAAATACCTTACTTTTGAAGGTACGTGTGTTTGTTCCATTCCGCGAAAGTAGACTTAAGATAAAACGAGAGTAGATCTAAAAAGTCATCCACCGTCACGCCCCCAGCGTTTTGAAAAGCTACAACCCCATACCCCTGAATACAATCCTCGACGCACCTTCGTAGTTTGTCATGTGGTAAGGAGTAATTAAGATCCTTAATGTCCAATGAACATGCGAAAAAACCTACGTCAGCGTTCATCTTCAAAAAATCCACCACTTCGTCAGAGCTCCTGACTAAAACGGGTCGTCAATGGTAAGGATCTTTAGTTTATCTTGCAACCACAAGGCAATCGACTTTTGCCAAGTGCCATGCTCAGAAACTATGACCCTCAAAGGCCAGTCTTCCTTATGTGTTTTCACACTGAACATAATAGCAAGACAAAACTGCATGTATTTAGCCAGTTTGTCCCCCAAAATAGTGTTCATATGTCGGTGTATTCATATTAACGGGTCTATATTACCAAGACATGACTGCATTTTCGGGAGCAATAAAAAGAAAATCACGCCAACGCACGAAAATAACGAGACATTGAATTAGACGCATCTTTTGACATATAATTGTCCAGAAACTGCTTATTGATAGATTACACGTGAAGCTCAGTATTCAATCGCAAACGCTTTCGATTCATTTACGGCAAGTTGCAGTTTTCTAATATCAAATACAGATGGCGACACGTGTTCAAGAATAGCTTGATTTGAATTTGTCGTCATGTGTCACTTGGAACGTCACGTGAGAGACAGAAATGGCATCGATGGGGTGATCACAGATGCCTGGATGCACTCTGTGAGCGAGCCAGAGATGTAAAACCAAGAATCGCGAGACTGCGAGCGGACCACAGCTGCTTCTGCACGTGCTTTGCTGTGCAACGGTATGTCCAGGTGAAGGTGACGGCGTGAAAGAGATTTCGGCTGGTGCAATTCCACAATGTTTGCAAATTAAATTGTTTTTGATCGCGGAATTTGTCTTCGCAATCGCACTATGGCTTGTCGGAATGGGTCGAATATATTTTGCTACTAAGGCCGTAAGGGTGGCTTCAAACCGGAAATATCCTATAAACCAGTTATTGATGGCTCTGGGGCGAAACACTGGCCTACGTGTCCCCATTTGGCGGGTTTCGATTCCGTCCGAGGTGCCCGCAATCTGACGGAGGACTATGCGAAGCGCAAGTTCGACTGCTTCTTGCGCAGGAGTTCCGGTGACGCCAGAACGACGTCAA